AATAATAATAATCCGCGCTGGTCTGTGCCAGTTAAAGGCTAAATATGTGTCTCTGTGTACAACAGCTGAATTATTTTTTTTCAGCGCGCGCACAGACTCCTCTTCCTCCTTCCTTCTTTCCTTCTTTCTTCCTCCTCCTCCTCCTCAGGCCGGCTGGACCTCCTCAGAGCCAGAACCCGCCTGGAACTGCAGTCGTGAAGCCCCCGTCGCCTTTTGGAAGCAGAAAACAGCAGCTTTAATGTCCTCCCAGCACCTGCCATGATTTGGATGTTGTTGACGATGAGAAGGAAGGGTGAAAAAAAAAGAAAAGAAAAAAAATCAATAAAAGGAAAAAAAAAAACAAGAAGTCTTCCGCTTCAAACAAAAATAAAAAGAGAGAGGAGGATGTGCAGGAGTGGACGATAGATGAGTCTGAATTTGACCTGTCGCAGAAAGTTGAAATGGGCTGGGCAAAGAGCGCCTGTGACCAAGGTGGCCGACATGATAGAAATCCTCATCACAGGGGTAATTACAGTATAGTTTATGGCTGGCTGCCTTTGGCAAAAACTGTAATTTGGAGCACATCTCTTCTTTTTTGTAAGCAGCGCTCAGCTCAGAGGCTGGAGGCGAGTGAAAGTAATGATGGAGACTTTTGTCTCAAATGTGACCCTCTATTAACATCTCTTGGCAGCATCTAAAGATCCTGTCACCATGAAGGAGGACAAAAGTCATCTTTTCCCTCCCTCCAACAGACCAAATCCCTTCTCTTTAAAATGCCATCCACACCAATAAATGGGCGGAGGCCTCCTTCCTTTATCACTCTGCACCTTCCCACCTCTCCATCCTCCCCTTTGTTTTGCAGGTGTTTCCAATTACCTGCTCATTTGCCTCTAATCTTGGCACCATTCTTCATGTTTGCACTGCCTCTAAAAGCAAAGTTTCAAAAAAAAAAATAAAAAAATCAGAGGAAACAGAGTCATCCCTTTCTACATTGTGTTATTAAAGGAATGTAATATTTTGATGAATTTCTGTGTGTGTAAAGTCCTGATGCCCAGGGAGGGGAGCGGGGAGTGTCAGTGTTAGATGCAGGTTGTCGGGTGGCATTTCATTATGATTTTTTTTTCTCTTCCTGGTGAAAGATGAGTGCAGAGGATCAGTCAATTCAAACACAGACATCACAAGTGAAAGAGTGTTGCTAAGAGACAGGGATGCTGCACAACTTGCATCAGGAGCTTGACTCAGACCTYACATGCAAATGAGCTTGCGCCAAATCTTTTGTGTGYATGTGTGTGTGTGAAAGAAGCTGCCGAGGAAAGATTTTAATATTTAGGTTCTTAAATTGCAAAAAAGAAAAAAAAAGAAGAAGAAGGATTTTGAAGTAACACTAGCAGTCGGGATCGAAAGCTATTGAAGGGTTTTTCAATCAGTGATCAAAACATTTCCCCCCTTTTAAAACAACAAAATTCACCCAGGCTGAGGAAACTTTGAATATTTCCATCTTAATAAAGTTGAGAAACACATCAGATTTTTTTCGATGCTTCACAATCATGCTGCACTCTAAAAATGAAATGTTGGATTTACTTAACCATGTTATGTTACCTGGTTCCACTTAACTGAGTTGAGTAAATTCAAAGCAACATACTCATGTTCTTTGGCTAAAAAAAACTGATATATTGCTTTGAATTTACTCAACTCAGTTAAGTGGAACCAGGTAACATAACATGGTTAAGTAAATCCAACATTTCATTTTTTATAGTGTAGATTTATTCACCTTTGCTGCTTTCTTGACCCTGTTTGGCATTTTAACACGTGATAAAGATGCCTTTTGGTAAGGCTGGGTTGGGGGGAAGGATGGGGGTTAAAAGGTTTAGAGAGAGGGGTAGGGGGGGTTGTGACCTGGACCAGGTTATCTGAAGTGGACATTGATAATGGCCTTTAAGACGTGCCAAGTTTGATCTTCCGGCACGGAGCCGATCAATAGCGTGAGCAGAAGCGGTGATATGAGGTTACTGCATGAGCAACTGGTAAACAACAACAACAACATCTGCACATCGGCTAATTGGCTGGACGTTTTGATGGGGTCAAGACAACGAAAGAAACAAAGAAGCCATTTGGACAGTGTTTGAAGATCACATGGCGGAGCGTTAAACATCAATCCAACAGTATATTACAAGAGCAATGAGGTTTATGAATTATGAAGGCATAAAAAATGATATTTTAATAATAATATTAGAGATGTGGGTCTTTCTGTGGTTCGCATTATGCAGAGAGGGGAAAAAAACAGAAAAGAAAAAAGAGGAAACGGGGAGAGGGAGTGCAAGCAATCCACCACCGTGTTCAAAGACAACCTTGTCAATAGTACTCACAGTGGGCTAGGGGAGTGTAATAGCACTTCCCTGATTCTACATTGATATCATATAATCCAGTGTGCCCTGTTTCAGTATCATATTTATCTAACCTGCTGGGGGACAGGGTAAGGGGGACAGTGTCCCTGCTGCTAGGAGCAGACACATTACACACTGCCTCGTGTATTCTTATTGATTACTCCCACCCCACTGCCCAGGGACCATAATTTAACTCAGCAGGCACTACAGTTAATACTGAAATTCAAACATTCCATCTACACTTCAAGAGCCAAAAACAATTGACACTTTAAAAATGTGCAGGGCCTTTCTAAATGGGATCTGAAGGGAATGGATCTCCATTTTCTTCTTGGTACTTGTTTTTTTTTTTTTTTCCTTTCTTCCTTCCTTCTTCCCCCCTCCTCTTCAGTTTCCTGCCAGTAAAACCAGCACACTGTTTCAGAGACAAACAGTGGATACAGAGCTTTAAAAGAATTACAATTTGTTGAGGAATTTGTTAATTGGGAAAGAGATTAAGACATTCTGTTGAACACGATTTTCCTACAAACTTCTCAAAAATGTGGATACAATGAAAACAATCTGAGAACTAATAGAATCTGCTTTCCAACTTTAGTGAAACTTAACTTTTTTTATAACAGATCAGGGCCAACAGGGAATAAAAGACAGGAATTAAGACAATTGGAGTTGAGCTGTGAGTTCTGCTCAACAGCACAAAGGCTGCAGAGGCAAGAAAGGAAACTTTTCTTTGTTTAGATGATTTAAAACAAAATAAGGGTACTTGTGTTCGACGTGAATCATTTAAAAACATTATAGAAATGCTTTAAAACTCTGTTTAGCTTCATTTTAATACATTTGATTTTTTTTGTTCTGGGAATAATTGCAGAGGTTTCAAATCAACCTTTTTTTCTAACTAGGTTTTATTTAGGGCGTGGAAAAAAGGAAGCATTGATGAAAAGCTTTTTAGAGGGTAAAATAAAGCAGACCAGTAATTCATGACATCTGGTTTTTATTTCTTTAAATATTAATAAAAACACACATTTTGAAGGCAAAATGTAGATAACTTCAATCATAAATGCAATTTACATAGTATTATTATACATATCTCACACTGAAACCAGTTTGCATCAGAAGAATTGTTGATAATCCACATTATTTGACACAGTTCTTACCTCATCTAGATTTGAGTTAATAAATCCACAGATGATTAGTAAAATACTTGTAAAATTCTTCAAACTCTGATCGTTTTTCATGCTAGAAGTGATCAAACCTTTAGATTTTAAAAAAATAACGGATGAGCACAGACAGTCACACTTTTATTAAAGCTGAAATGAGCATCAGTGGGGATTAATATGAATTAATTAAACTGACTCTGTTTCCTTTAATGAGAGGGAGAGGATTTGATGTTAATGCAGTTGAATTCACAAAGGCTTCAATCCACCTAATTAACCAGCAGAGCTGCAAACACAGTGAAATGATCAATATTAATATTTTTTAAAAATAATATATTCCATCATTGCTATGGATATTTCACTTAGAAAAGGTAAACATTTGCAAACAGTTCGTCATACAAATAATATAAGTAGAGTTTTATTTTGTTTTTAGACACATTTTCTATTTTGTGTGTGTAATAATTAAAATGGCTGTTTTATCTCAGCTTTTAGTCATATGTGGCAGCGCTCACTGTTGCGTCTGTGTGCTGAGCAGAGATAGAGAGTCTGTGGAGGGCCAGGGAGCAGACTCCAGAGATCCATCCATCTCAATCTGAGGCTACAGCTGACACCTTACAAAGAGGTACAATTAATAAGGGCATTATCCAGCAGTAGGCAACAATGGAGTCCTAACGCAGAGACACCAACCTCAGGAGGCCCGGGGAGGAGAAAAAAAAAAAAGAGAGAGTGTGTGCGTGTGTGTTTATGGCTGGGGGGAAGGGCAAGCCAAAGTGCTTCAAAATGGGATGCATTACAACCAGTGTCTTCAGAACATAAATCTATTATATCCGACGTTTATGATCGATGGTGCAAGCTCTTTTGTGTGCTAAATGGGTCAAATTGTTTTTAAGGCTTCACAGCCAAAATCTTTTTGTGTCTCTTGTTAAATTGAAATGTTTTATTCTGTTACAGATGGTAGAACGGCATGATCATGAAGGAAGCATAAAAAGGGAAGTTTGAGAAAGTGRAGCAGAAACAGTTTGGCTGTCTGAGCTGCTCAGGTTCTGGAGACTTCATGAGAAGGAAATGTGAGTTATCAAACCCAGCGTATAAACTGATAATGGAGCCCTCATGAAATTGTCCTGTTAGTGCGGGTTGAGTGCAGCTCTGTGGTTCACAGGGGACGGGGCGGGGACACCGCTGCACTGACATTTACAGCAATCCAGGAGTTGTTTGTGGTCACTGGACTGGAGACAAACGCTGAACCCAAAAGGTCAGAGGCTGTGGCTAAATTTCATCCACAGTGGAGGTCCTCTCTGCTGGAAAAGACAAACAGAGCAGCTGAGGTGTGGAGTGGACTCGCTTTCTGAGAAATCAATCTGCCATCATGTAAACAAAGCAAAGGAGTACAGAGTTAAATAAATGTTCATTTAAAAAAATGTAAGAAATGATGACAAAAAAAAAAACAGAGATCAATACAAAGCAAAGTGAAACAAACGTCTGGGAACGGATCCTTAAATAATCAAGTCTTAATCGCTTCATAAGTCGGTTTCAGTTTTTTAAACAAAGTCAAGAGTCTCCTGCAGAGATGGTTTTATATTTTTCTGCTCATTCCGTGGGGAGAGGATGAGCCTGGTTATGGATTAAGGCTTTGATCAATAACAAGATAGGGAGACCGTCTCTCTAAGCTCAAGAAAATTAATTCGAAATGCAGTCAAACTCTTATCGACCCACAGACAGGGCTGGCTTTCATTGCAGGTAGTTGATAATCCACCAATATTGTGATGAGCAGCTAATCTCCTATTTTAAATACGACCTCCCCGGCACATAATAAAAGTTAAGACAGGCCGATCATTTGTTATCTATAGAATGTTTTTTTATTTATTTTTTTGTGAACAGGAAGATGTTGAGATCATTTCCTGTGCATTAACCTAAGACTTGGAG